TATATATATATATATATATATATATATGTATATATATAATCAAATAATAAATTTTAAATTAATTTGAAATAATTAACTTCATTTTAGTAATCAATTTTATATGTATATTATAGAATTGTTCTTGTGTATATCTTTCATTACGGAGTTCTAAATTTTAAGTCAATATTCATTGCATCAATTGTTCAGGAATAAATAATTTCTATTTGTTTTTACAGAATTCAGTTCAACGCGCAGAAAGAGAACTGCTTTTACAACTGATCAACTTTTACATCTGGAGAAGGAGTTCATCACCCAGGGCAAGTACTTGGGAAAAAATCAAAATCGCCGGAGATTTGGGATTAAGTGATCGACAGGTAAGAAAATTGATATTTGTTCTTTATTTAATTCAAAAAACACGAACAAAAATAATAAAATTATGGATGAAATTCGATTGATGTGGTTTTCGAAGTATTTTTTTGATGAACATGAGGAAGTCGAAGGAATATTTTAAATAATTCAATTTTTTTTCATCGACTTTAAAGGTTTTGAATAAGGAAATTGTTCTTAGTTTAAGTAAATTTATTTCTAATATTTTTGTTCCGTCCAAGAAAATTAATCAGAAAATATTCAATTTTTTTCAACTGTTATTAAATAATTGATATGTAAAATTAATATAATTTTTTGACAGGTTACAGTTTGGTTTCAAAATCGTCGCATAAAAGATAAGAACGCTGGATCAATCAAAGTCGACAAAGACGCGGAGAAGGATCCTAAGACCGCTCTGCCTGATAATCAAATTGGATGCAAACAGAGACACATGGAAATCAAGAAAGAAATAACATACCAAAACACTGGCTTTGTTGCTTCTGCTTCTGCTTCTGTTCCTGCTCCAGTTATAATTCACGGACGTGAGAATCAAATGCATACTCTCAACTACAGCAGCAAGTCATCTACTGTCATCCCCCAACATCACCTGAGTAGTTGGAATTTCCATAATAGAATCAACTACGACACAATTCAAAATCAGAATTATAAAAATTTTAATGGTCCTGACTGGAACTATAATTTCATCAATGAACATTGTTCAATTTCCAACGGATACGCACACGAAGTCAAAGCTAAGGAAACATTTCACACTTATTATTTAAATAATTGCACTTCTAATAATCATGATTATTATCCGCTTGGCTGGAATAAGTAGACTGGTGATCTAAATTCAAATTGTTCTGGATCATCCCCTCAATCAATTATTCGATGCAATTCAAATATAATAAAATTGTTTTATATTTTATTAATACCGTTTTGTCATTTATTTCATTAAGTTAGATTTTGATAAAAAAAAAAAAATTCTACAATAATTAAGTAGAAATGTAATTTTAATTTTTTGTATTTGTGATTAATATATTTTTTGTACTAAATATTTTGTTAATTTTTTTTTTTTATGAATTTCGAATAAATATTGTCAAATTACAAATTGTTATCATTCATTGCGTTATATTTATTAAATTTTTTTTTCGTAGTGTTTTTTGCGATTTCTTAAAATGTTCTGGTCCGAATCGGTCCAAATTGTATTTAAAATCTGAGTGTAGCCAAGTCCTTTTGAATGGCCCCAACCGCGATGAAATCGGTCAAATTGTTTACAAATTATAACAGGGTCGCATACATACACACAGAGTAGTCAAGGAAGCTTCCTAGGGCCTCAGAACGTTGAGATCTAATGAGAATTCGATTTTTACAAAACGGGGTAAAACCAATAACTTTCTGATTTTTTTTAATTTTCAATCTTCTTAGCAGAAAGTTAAAAAAAAATTTTTCGTTTTTTTCTTTAGGGGGGGGGGGGCGTCGTGCCCCAAACAGAAAAAACTTTTTTATATAACCTGCATTGAAAATGCGAGTTTCAATGCCTGTTGAGCCAACTGAAACTAGACAATTTCAGACCAATGCGACTGTGCCGGGCAGGAATCAATTATTACTTCCCGGCGGACAAAAAATGACGACTTCCTGCCCGCGAGATGAAGTTGCAGCTTTATTTCCAATCCTATCAATTGTTCATTTATTTTATATCTTTATAATTGTCATTCTAACCGTTAACTGTACTGACATATTATAATTCTGTTATTAAGCATAAATAAGAATGACAAAATTAAACTTTTCGTCCTAGGCGGACGTATGGAGGTTTTTACGTGCAGACGATACTCAATCTGTAAATAATACGCGTACGCGCCAGTATCTACTAGGCTGTATAGAACTTTATACAGCCCAGGACGATGCCACGCATGCGTCATCAATCTCTATACAGCCGACTAGCTTACGTTTTAACTGTAATTTTAAAAAGCGCACCGGGCGCATGATATGCTGAAAAGACAATATAATCTCAATATTTGTAAATCAATTGTTTTAGTATAGCAGTTAAGTTCATTGATCTCAATTTTTTTAACTCGGGGAACTGTTACTTTAATATTATAAAATTGCGATTTATTAAAAAATATGTTAAAATAACTGCGTTTAAACTATTAATTACAATAAAATTACATTTTAATATTTACTAGAAATTTGAATTAATTAATTTTAACCACTAATGAATCGTGGCCCGGTTTTTGCGAGTTTCTACCTATGACTAACTTCAAGACTTTCATGTATTTTTATTGAGAGGGTTATGGCGTCGTACGCTATTTATTTACAAATTGAGTTTCCCCTGCACGCAAAAACCCGCATACGTCCGCCATCGGACGAAAAATTTTTTAAGCACCATGGGCAAGCTACGCGCAAATACGGTCTCTGCGATAATTATTTGCAGCAGAGATATAAAGCCTCGGGCCTTGGCTTTATACTATCCCTGCTGAAAATACTTCTTGCAAATTTTCATCTCTAAAAGGGAAAATTACATAATGAATAGTAATAAATGCCCTCTTTAAATATAAAACTAGAAAAATTGCATTTCAAAATAACATTTTTGAAATTTAAGCTATGAATGTTCATTTATACAAATACTTAAAAAGTTTTCCAGCATCAAAAAGTTTACCATATTTTCCACTAAACATCTCAATATTTTAATCAATTTTTTATAGTCCAAAAACATTTTTGTATGTCAAGTTTGTAATCAAGAAAATGATTTTGAAGAACTTTATATCTTCTTAATTTCAGTAGAAAAATTATCAAACTACGAATTTTTTTTCGTTCAAGTAAATTTTACTTGATTATGAATTTTTTATCTTCATTCATGACAATGGAACTCTTCAGAACTATTTCTTTTGTTAATGAATTCTTCTATTGATTAAAATGTTTTTTTTTTTGGTGTAAAATATTTTAAAATTCATTTTATAATTTGTATCTTCAAAGGAAATATTGAATTGAATCGTCAACATATTAAAGTGTCAAATAATTTTTTTTAAGCTGTTTTTTCAAAGTTCACAAATATTTCATGAAATGTTAATCAAAAAAAATTCTGCTAATGTTCCAAATTTGTTCTGGATTGTCTTACGATATGAATTTCTTAGGCGGAGGGTTATACGAACTTTTTGGGATTTTTTTTGTTCCAGCCATAAATATTGAGAGTAATTAAAAAAATCTGAAAATAAAAAATATCTATTCACAACCTAACGACAAAAATCTATACATATCACAAGTATGAATAGAAAACATTTGGGGCATTTCATACCAACTCGTCCTACCAATGGATTTTGCATCTCCGATTTCGCTGAAATTTGGACACTTTAGTGTACCCCTCGAAAAAGGTTTTTATGATTTTTTTAGAATTATTTCATTCACCCAATCGGGAGATATGAATATTGTAACATTTAAGGGATTTTTTTTTTTAATAGCCATAACGGTGAAAAATAGTCCGATTTGGGTTTTTTTTTTTTTTTTCAAAATTCGTGTTTTTTAACGACTTTTCTGATAAATTTATGCAAAAAATTATTCATGAAGCATTTGATTGATTTTTTTTATTTTAAACTTAAAACAGCAATTTTAAAATTGTTAGTGACCTTCGATTCTTTTCTCAAAATTTTTAAAAACATTACTTCTCAAGACACGAATTTTGACCCTAGTCTCATAAAGAGAAAACGAAGGGTTATAATTTTTTTTTACTATTTATGTATTTTACTAATTATGTATCATTGGCGATTTCCTACCGAAATTTCAATGTCAAAAATAATAACTGATAGTATCCTAATGTGCCAATTATATAAATAAATTATTTTTTTTTTAGATTATACCAATAAAAATTTGTTTTTCATTCAATTTTTTTTTTGGCACACTAGAATAATATTAGTTATTATTTTTATAAATAATATATAAATAAATAATAATTTTTATATGTTATAAATACAATTAAACCTAGAAATTCAAATTTTGACTTTAATTGCTAATTATCGTAATGTATGGTATTTTTTCAGATGTCATCTCATAAATCCGTCAATGATACATAAATAGTAAAAAAAAAAAAAAAAAAAAAAAAAAAAAATTATTTTCAAATTTAAAAATTAGGAAAACGGTTGACCTTAAAGGCCATCCCTGAACTTCCCGCAAATTCCGTTAATACCTGGCCGCTTTTTCTGAGCTCTTTGAGCTCAAAAATATAATCTGTGTGTTGTTTTGAGCTCTCCGAGCTCGAAAAAATGCCTTCTCTATGCTTTTGAGCTATCTATAAGCTCAAAAGTCTGATATATATTTCATAAAATACTTTTCTTTTAATTTTCAAACCGCAATAACTTTTGAATGATTCTACATTTTGAAGTTGAGTTTTTGAAGCCTCATAAAGAATTTCTAAGTTTCAATTAGTTAAACGAGAAATTTCGGAGTAACTTCGAAAATACTCTTTCTTCAGTTTATCCTCTGCCTTATGATAATTACATCTTGGCGGCTGCATCGGTGTAGAAGATATTAACAATCAAATATCTTAAACACTAGATAAAGGTAGAAAATGAATAAAACACTCTTGCTGTGCGCAGACGCTTAAATATTAGTCAACATATTTTAATGCGCAAGCGTATGAAAAGCGCAAGTATGATCCCTCATGTATCTTCTTATTTAAAAATTCTATTGCATGTCAAGTGCGAACGCGCGAGAAGTAAGTTCTAGAGTTAATGGCTATTATCGCCTAAAAATAAAGTCTTTGATTCTTTCACGACAAGTCATATATTGAGTCGATGAAATACATATGTAGTTAACGGAAAAAAACGTACTATAATGAAGAAAAAAAAATTATTCAATAGGTAGAAATTACTTTTAATCGGTGTATTGATGTTATTATGTGAAAAAAATAAGGATTATCACGACTGCACGGAGGATGGTGGTTAAAACTTTTGAAAAATAAATTTTTAGGTAAATTTCATAATTATATTATTATTAAATCGTAAATACAGATTAAGCTGATCAAAACGCGTCAATAAATAAAATATTATGTGGCACACATATGAACGTTTACGTGAGTGTAACAACACACACGTCGAATAATTCAATCAACTAATTGCTAATAATTTTACGGCCTATGCAATAAAGTGTTTCCGGGAAATATGGATTTTTTTTGATACGCAACAAATGTTGCCATGGAAACTTTGTCTTTTCTTCTGTAATTTTATAAGCTCGTGTATAATCGAAGAATAATTGTGCAATTTCTATACTTATTTGAAGAGAAGTCTACTGATAGATTCGCGGTTTGAACCAATTTGGTGATGTGAAATTCATAATAATGCGTCGAGAATTTATTCTATTAATTATTTGTTGGGGGTCGGTTACTGCAAGTGGTGAATGGAATAGACTAAAAATAATAGATTCCAATTATAAAGATTCTTCGGAACGTCTTGAACGTGATGCGGTGAGTCCTAGAACTTGTATTTTCTCAGTTGATAATTAAAATAACTTCATTTATTAATTTACCCGAGTCGAAATATTTGGATTAGATTTAACTTACGTTAGCTTAAAAAGCTTACATTTACCTTATCTGGTATTGATGGGCTTGAATTGATATTACCTTGACTTAAAAAGCTTGCATATGACTTAGGTGAGCTTACTCATCAGGTTGAACTTAATTAAGACTTATTCCTGATAAAACTAACCTATCTGAGAAAAACAGCACGAAGAAAAGATATAAATCCAAACTAGGGTAATAAGTGTATCGAATGCCTGAAAGACAAGAAGCGACAGTCCATTTCAGGCACCAGTTCATCGCCAGATGTACTCCTAGATTAATTGTATAACGATGTAATATTTTTAGTTGAAAAAATTAACTTTTAGCGAACGTACACGGAAAAAAAAAACTGTAGCACTAACAAGTTAGGTCTGTAGCAGCTACAGGTCTAGTATTGTAGCTGCAACATGAAAAGCCTGTAGCAGCTACAGGCCTAGTTTTGTAGCTGCAACAGGAAAAGCCTGTAGCAGCTACATACCTAGTTTTGTAGCTTCAAAAGGAAAAGCCTGTTTCTACTACAGGCTTAGTTTTGTAACTGCAACAGGATAAGCTCCATTCCATTACAAGTTAAAAATTTAATTTTATTATTAGGGATCAACATATTAACATCAATTATTAGTTTTTTACATGGATCAGCTGATAGTTAATTATTTTTTACATGAATCAGCTGAAAGTTTCATAATTTTGCAAACAATTTATCGGGTCTTTTACTTTATTGCAATATCGATCTTGGATTAAAAGACGTGATTGCATGTATTTGGAATTTTAACCCTAGACAGGTCAAAGGGTGGCGCACAGAAACCGACTATTTTTAACTTCCCGCTAAAAATCTCAGATTTTCAAAAATCGGGAAGTTATTGTTTTCACCCCGTTTTACAAAAATCGAGTTTTCATCAGATCTCGACGTTTGAAGGTCACAGGAAGCTTCCCTGACTATTTTTACGATGATGTCCGTACGACGGTGTGTGTGTGTGTGTTTTTTTTATAGAGGAGGTAAAATACATTTACGTATGCCAGGGCTTGGTGTTGTTGCCAGGACTAGGTGTTGGTGCCTGGGTATGTCGGACTCGGAAGTCAATATTTGCAACAATACCGACTAAACATCCTCCTCTCTCCTTTCCCTATAGATGTTACAGGGATGACTGGAACGGGACCGCGTTAGCATTACTTCAATCCAGTCCATGTTGTGTCTCATGACACCTACTTCTTGTTACTAATTACTGGTTTCTAATCCCTTTCTGCGATTTTTTCTTTTAAAAGGCGCTGCGCGTAGGCTGCGACAGCTGACCAATTTTCTTCTTTTTTTATCATGCAGGTTACCAAGCTCTCAGGGAAGAGCGTGGTGCCTATTGTTTCTTCGAATCAACATATTAACATCAATTATTAGTTTTTTACATGGATCAGCTGATAGTTAATTATTTTTTACATGGATCAGCTGAAAGTTTCATAATTTTGTAAACAATTTTTCGGGTCTTTTACTTTACTGCAATATCGATCTTGGATTAAAAGACGTGATTGCATGTATTTGGAATTTTAACCCTAGACAGGTCAAAGGGTGGCGCACAGAAACCGACTTTTTTTTTTTTAGTCTCGAGTGAAAAAATGTCAGTTTTTAATGTTTTAAGAGCCCTCTCCAAAGAACAGATCAAATAAAATTTTTAAGAGGTCGCTTCAAATTTTTTTAAATTTCAAAAATCGTCAAAAATCGAACTTATATTTTTTTTCTCGTTACGCCATAATTTTATAGACCAAAAGAAAATAAGTTCCTGAAAGTTTCAATTCAAAATTTAAATTTTGAAAGGTTGCTCATAATTTTTTTTTAAATTTCAGAGTCAAAAAATGCTAATCCAATTAAATAGTCACTAATAAATTAAAAAAAAATTATGATCGACCTTTGAAAATTCACATTTTGAACTGAAACTTTCAAAAAAATATTTTTTTTCGGTTTATAAAATTATGATATAACGAGAAAAAAAAAATAAGTTCGATTTTTGACGATTTTTGAAATTTAAAAAAATTTGGAGCGACCTCTTAAATTTTTTTTTTTAAGCTGTTCTTGGGAGAAAGCTCTTAAAACATCAAAAACTAACATTTTTTCACTCGGGACTAAAAAAAAAAATAGTCAGTTTTTTTGCGCCAACCTACTGGTCAACGTATGAGCGTGACGCCATGCTCAATTATATTTTTTTTATTACATCTTCACTAATAACTAAAATTATTCAAAAAAGTTTGACTTTGTTCCTTGAACATTTTAGGATATATTAATAATTTTCCAAACATCTTCGACAACGTTAAATTGCTGGAAAAAAATACTTAAAAAAATTCGCGGGGCTTTCCTCGTTGTTTGACCAGAGCCGTAAGTAGTTTTTTGTCCGCGGTGTTGCCAAAAACACCTTTAGTCTCTGCCTGTCAAACGTGTATGAACTGGCAAAACTGTACGCTCTAAAAGCATTACGGTAATTCCCTCATCACTTGACCAAAGTTGTTAGGTCGCGCTTGTCAGTCTAGGCTTAAAAAATTTTCAAGGAATAATAAATAAGAATAAAATTATTTAACGTAAACACATTAAAAATGATCAATGTCCTACTATGAAAAACCTTAAAAATAAAATTTAAAACTTGTAATGGAGCTTATCCTTTTGCAGCTACAAAACTAGGTCTGTAGCTGCTACAGGCTTTTCCTGTTGCAGCTACAAAACTAGGCCTGTAGCTACTACAGGCTTTTCCTACTGCAGCTACAAAACTAGGCCTGTAGCTGCTACAGGCTTTTCCTGTTGCTGCTACAGGAACACACTACAGGCCTAAGACCTGTAGCAGCAAGTTCTTTTTTTTCCGTGTACAGGGGTTCTTCGTGCAGACGAGCAGTCGGCGTGACTTGCACTAGGTCGTCTCAGAGTATTTCCAAGCTTCCACTAATAAAAAAGGAGAAATTTTAGGAACAAAAATGAACTGTTGACCAATGGTTGGAAATTATTCTCGTAGACGGGCTGTGTGACGTGCACCAGGTCATTTCTCAGTGTTCTCCAAGCCAAATTGAGTAAAATAAAGTATTTTATTTCAAAAAGAAAAAAGGTTAACCAACGCTTGGAGAATTTTCTCGAAGACGAGCTGTGTGGCGTGCACCAGTCATCGCGGGGTATTTCCAAACCTCCTTACATAAAATATGAGAATTTTTAGGCACAAAAAAAAACTGTTAACCAATGCTGGGAGGTTTTTCTCGTAGGCGGGCTGTAGGACGTACACCAGGTCCTCTCTTGGTGTTCTCCAAGCCAAATAGTGTAAAATGAAGGATTTTTTGTCAAAAAAATAAACTTTTAACAAACGCTTGGAGGATTTTCTCGAAGACGAGCTGTTCGACGTGCACCATGTCATCGCAGGGTATTTCCAAGCCTCCGTACATAAAATATAAGAATTTTTAGGCACAAAAATGAACTGTCGATCAATGCTTGGAGGTTGTTCTCGTAGACGGGCTGTATGACGTGCACCAGGTCGTCTCTCGAAGTTCTCTAAGCCAATTTGAGTAAAATAAAGTATTTTTTTGTCAAAAAAATGAACTTTTAGCAAACGCATGGAAAATTTTCTCGAAGACGAACTGTGTGACGTGCACCACGTCGTCTCAGAGTATTTCCAAGCTTCCACTAATAAAATATGAGAATTTTTACGCACCAAAATGAACTGTTGACCAATGCTTGGAGGTTGTTCTCGCAGACGGGCTGTATGACGTGCACCAGGTCGTCTCTCGAAGTTCTCTTAGCCAATTTGAGTAAAATAAAGTATTTTTTGTCAAAAAAGAAAAAGTTTAACAAACGCTTGGAGAATTTTCTCGAAGACGAGCTGTGTGACGTGCACCAGGTCATCGCAAGGTATTTCCAAGCCTTCGTACATAAAATATGATAATTTTTAGGCACAAAAATGGACTGTTGACTAAAGCTGGGAGGTTATTCTCGTAGATGGGTTGTATGACGTGCACCAGGTCGTCTCTCGTTGTTCTCCAAGCCAAATTGAGTAAAATAGAACATTTTTTGTCATAAAAATAAATGTTTAACAAACGCTCGAAGATTTTTCTAGCAGACGAGCTGTGTGACGTGCACCAGGTCGTCTCTTGGCGATCTCTATGCTTCGTTCAACAAAGTTAAATTATTTTTAGGTTAAAAATGGGGCCTATAACTCATGTTTAGAGATTCTTCTCACTCTTGTGCTGTGTTCGTTGCACCAGGTCTCTTCCAGTCAATTTCTAAGCTTAATTAGATAAAATTAAAAACCAATATGTCTTATTCTAGTTCATATATATTTAAAGGAATTCCTATGTACATTTTGTCATCAAAACTGATTACAACACATGCATTATCAATATTTTCAACTGGAATAAGGATGTAAGTATCATCAACATGACATTTATGTAAATATCCTAACGTATTGAATGCGTAATTTTCTCCAGTAACTGTAAACACTTCATCAGTCAAAATTTGTTGAATAAGTGCATAATGGTTTCCATTACATAAAACACATTAGTTCTTCACAATTGCACTGTTTGACTTTTATAAAATAATCAACGAATCCTAAATATGTTCTCTCTCTGTTTGAATAACATACCGCGTTCGATTGAGTTTGAAGTTCTATTGGATACATTGTTGATACAATAAGTTTTCTATCCTTTAGCATTCTAAAATATTGATACAGTTTTGCATTGTCATCAATATTAGCGTTTCGTAACAATCTTCGTAGATTGTTTGGTCGTTCATCCATGTTTTTGTAAGTCCCAATACTGTAAGTTTTGTATCCAATCCGTTCAATTATTTTCGCTTGTTTTTTTCTATTTAAACAAAAGTCTTTAATTTTTCCTTCGGGTAAAGTTTCTGTATATCTCACGTGTCTTATAGTTCTGTTATGGGAGCTTTCAACCTGGATATCGATATGATCGGTGCCGTTGATTGAGCTTAACGTTTGGCCATTTATATTTTCATATTCAAATCATTGTGTTGACCACAAAGGCCCAAGTCTTCTAACACAATCTGGCAAATGGAGTAGCTGGTGTAAATTTATGGAACAAAATTTCAATCCATACAATTGTTCAAAATCTTTCACAAATTTTTTTAAAAAATCTTCGGCTACGTTTAGTAATTCTTCGGTAATTTCGTTAAAACTAAAAATAGCTGCTATTAATAGCTTGTAATTTTCGAATAGATCCTGACGTAAAATACCCTTCAACACTGGTAATGAATAATAACACGCCCACACTCTTAATTCAGATGCTTTCCAGTGAATGACTTCAGTAATAGTACGAGTTGAACGATGGATAAACTTTGTAGTTTTGATAGACATCAATCGATTATTGACCGTATCAATCATATCATACAAAGAAAATCCTTCCTCTCGATACTGAACATCAAATAAAAGTGTCAAAATCTTCTTGATTATGCCCCCATTAACGCCATGCATCCTATCAATTGCCATTCCTTGGATAAAGTCAGCCATATAAATTGAAAGAGCAGTGGGTCCCTTAATTCCCATCACCGGATTTTCTTCTGTAGCTGTTTGCGCCCAAATTATACAGTCTCTAGCTGTTCTCAATTCTAACACTTCTTAATAAGGATAAACATGAGTTGATCCATTATCAGTTCTAACGTTTAATCCTTTTATGCAACATGCCATACAGCCAAAATCACCATTAAATTTTTTGAAGTTCAAGAAATCCGATTTTGCTGAAGTATCAGCTGTTCCAGCTATAACTATTCCTCTAACTATTATAGGCTGAAGTTGACCTGGTATTTTAACGGTGATTCCTCTTACCATTTTAGACAGTTGGGATTTGAATTTGCTCATGAATAAATTTGGACTGGGCTTCGTTTTACCAAACCACAAACCTAATAATAAGGTATTTTCCCTCAACTTTCTTATTTCAAATGGCAACTCATTAATTGTCAAAAAGAAGGGTGTCATGCTAACTTGAGAGGATTTAAAGACTGGTATACCATCAGTGTACCAACTGAAACTAATATTCCTATAATCTTGTAAAAAACCATTTTCACTTCAATATTTGTAGATTGATCCATCGTAAATATCACTAATGACATTATTATGAATAATTCTTTGAAAACGATGCTGTAAACTGTTAATGAAACTATTTCGCTTGAACATTTCTCTAATTTGTTTTACAATAGACAATGTAACGAAGTAAGAATTTTTTTTCCGTCTACAAGATGGGCATCGATCATCAGCTGATTGTAACTCACGATTACATGAAGTACAGAAGAAATGTTTCTTCATATTTCTCTTATTTTTATCTAACGAAAAAAATTTCTTAAATTTGTACAAAGAATTTTTATATAAATTTTGATTGGGACAATGCAAATTTATAATTTGAATAATATCTTCAAGACAAGCCAGGCTGACACTATGTTTGATTAAAATTGTGAAAATCAAAAGCATGCTGTGAGTGACAGTTAAATTTGCTCCAGTGTATAGTGGTAGGTCAGCATCTACATTGACATCATCATCATCATCATCATCATCATCATCATCATCATCATTATCATCATCATCATCATCATCATCATCATCATCATCATCATCATCATCATCATCATCATCATCATCATCATCATCATCATCATCATCATCATCATCATCATCATCATCATCATCATCATACACTACACTACACTACTACTACTACTACACACACACACACACACACACACACACACACACACACACACACACACACACACACACACACACACACACACACACACACACACACACACACACACACACACACACACACACACACACACACACACACACACACACACACACACACACACACACACACACATTGCCAAACATTCTTCCTTTTTTCGTATTTAATTATGAATTAAACTTATTCTGTGTTAAAAGTTCTTAGAATTAAGAAAAAGTTTCAAGAATTGACTCAATATATTTTTCAAAAACAGATCAATTGCTTTCCGGACTTCGATCATACTTATAAGTTTATAATTATTAATAATTAAAAGTATATAGTTCAATTACAAAGTTGAAGATTTCTAAAACTTAAGTTTTTATGTTGTTCGTACTTTAATTAAAATTATTTGATTCAAAAAAATTGATTTAAAAATTATGAAAATCAAAAACTGTAAGTAATCTCATTGAGAGTTAAAATTTTCGGTGAATTTGTCTATTAATGTAACGAAAATCTTTAAAATTGAAAACTCATCGGCAAATGTCACACTCGAAAAATTTTGTTTTCTGGAATGTTATTGACGTAAAACGTTGTTTTTAATCAAAACCAATTTTAAATCATCACAAACTTCATACATGTAAATTTATTCAAATGAAGTTGTTCATAGTTATAAGTTTTAGTAATTAAAATATTAATATATTGACATAATTCCCCACTATGAATTCGTAAAGTCTTTACACGCTTTCTCCATACAAAAATAAATTATCACAAACCATTATATTATTGTTTAAAATGATATTTGAATTATGAAACACTAAATGTAAACAATCTACTTATCTGTTGAATTGTTTATTGTTGATTAATAAAATTATTCATGTATATAACTCATAACACATGTAAATAACGTTTTTAATATGATTTTATGATAGATAACATATTATTTACAAAAATAGCTTACTATGACCGATTCAATTAGTGATGCACAAATACAATTATATTAAGAGAAATAACTATAAATCACTTTTCTAAAATTAGCACAATCTCAAACTCTGAACAAATTGAAACCCGCTCTTTTAAACCCATTTCGTCTGCCGGCAAACTATTATACAGTGCATTAGGTTGTATCGTAGATTTGTTAGGCAGATGACTCCCCACCAATCTCCTAACTGAACGATACCGCTACATTAAGAATTCAAATGCGTTGGGCTCCACCTCTCATCAGGTATACCCCTTCTACAAAATGTGTGTTTAAAAGGTTCTGTTACACGCTAAAAATTGACGCTTGCAAGCTATTTTTTGCTTAGCGAAAAACATTTCCATTATAATAACCTTAATCCAGTCACTCATAACACAACTGTTGTTCGTTCTTGGTAACCGAAATTGATCATAATCATGTCTTCGAATTTTCGGTTTATATTCTGTAAACCACAATCACTCAGGCCAAAAATTGTTGTTGGCTAAGAAAAAATTATAAAATTACTTTAAATTTACTCTGGAATTACAGCGACGAAAATTAATCTTCACACTATCAAAGTTTTTTCATTCAAAAAACTCAATCACGCATCATGTAAATTTTTTATATCTAACCTGTCTTGAAACTGCTATGCGAGTTTCAATGCCTGTTGAGCCACCCGAAACTACTCAATTTCAACTTGACGAATGCGACTGTTTTTTCCCGCAGGCAGAAACCTATGGTTTTCTATTCGCTGAATAAAGTTGCAGCCCTGTTTTCGATCCTATTAAAGTATCTTTTGTTTATTTCAAACCTTTATTACGGTCATTTCTTATTCGCTATTAGTCTGAAATTTTCTAGTTTTGGTTGGTTTCAGAAATTAAAACTCGTACTTTTAATGCAGATTATATGAAAAATCTAGTGTGTGACGCGGGATGAAACATGATTTCAGACTTTGAGTGGTTGCCTGCCCTCGCTTTGCTCAGGCGCAACTCGAGCTTCCGCCTGGAATAGTCTTGTTTCATCCCTAGTCACACAACATACTATTGTCGTGAAGCTAATATTGTTCAAAATGAGAATATTTTACGACTCATTCCAGTAAAAAAATGTGGAAAATAGTACATACTGTTGGCCAATCTTGGAACTTTCTGTTAGTTTTTAGCTCATACAGCTCTGATGTCTATCTATTGCTCGATTATCAAATTCTTTACGCTCAAATATAGAATTATGGATACACTTTTGAACTTTACGAGCTCAAGAATCGAAAAATCATTTAACAAACACTTATTTTTTGATTCTTGAACTGTCGTATTTGTCGATTGAATCAACCAATTTTCGTCAATTTTGGTTCATCCGATGATGTTTTTTGAAAGAAAGAGCTAAATGACTTTTAGATGGAATCAATAAGCATACTTGAAATATATTTAAGAAGCACTTTTTGAAAGACTTCATTTTTTTAATTTCTTCAAACCTATTGAGCCAATTAAATTTCTAGAGCAAGAATTTCGTCAGAAACCAGCAATGTATTATATCATGAGCAAGTTATATACAATTCTTGAGTTAGTTTCTTTTGCGATACAATATTGCGCAAGGCACATACGTAGATGAAGACTCTAAGTACTGAGAGTTTCGCACAAGGCTTTGCAACATGTTTTTAACATTTTAACTATTCGGCATCCATTTAATTCGCGTACGCGTTTTCGTATACAATTATCAACAGACGCGGTTTCCGCCTCCAGAGACATATAATCTTCAGTGATTAGTTTCGAATTTAAGGAACTATTCAATTAATTGTAATATTGTCGCCCAAACGGAACAGTCCACGTAAACCATTGGGCCAAGCCCGGACTGAGGCTTGGCTTATTGGTGTAGTATTATTAAACCGAGTCAACCAAGTCTTGGGTAGTCACGTCTGGCCCAAGCTTCGACCCATGGTGTGATATTATTAACTCCAGCCTCCGGAAGTTACTATAGTATACTGGGCTCAATCTGGAGCTAGGCTTGCCCTAATGATTTGATTTGGTTAAATCGATGCTCAAACGAGATCAAACAATCAAGATTCAGTCCAAGCTAAGCCCGGAAATTCAGTTGCGATAATTGATTAAATTTTCGGGGAAAAATTTTTTTAAATGATAGTTCTAGAAAGTTCTAATACCTCAAAACTAAGTTAAAGTTATTGCTTTTTTACTTTCCGCTATAAAAATCGATGATTTTTAAAAAATTGGTAAGTTATTGGTTCACCCCTGTTTTTGAAAATCGAGTTCTCATCAGATCTCTGTGTTTGAAGGTCTAAGGAAGCTATTCTGACAAGGATGCTACTATGTCCGTGTGTGGATGAATGTAACCCTCTCATAACTTCTGAATGGCTTGACCGATTTGAACTATTTCAGCGGCGTTTGAAAAGGCTTCACTAAACTTAGATTTTCTGTACCATTAAAACTGATTCGGACAAGTAGATTTTGAGAAATCGCAAAAATTAAATTTTCAAAAAAATCTTTTCTTGGAATAACTTTTAAACAGATATAAGGATCAATTCCAAAATCTAATCAGCTCTTTAACTAAAAAAACGACGTCGATCACTGCAAACCGCATCAAAATCAGTTGATGTGTTGAAAAGAATCCGTTAACGAAAATTTTGAAAAAAAGTGTTTTTTTAAGGGGGAACACCATTGTGATGATCGAAAAAAAAAAAGGGAATGAAAAAAAGAAGTGACAGAAATGAACGATTTTCGGGAATGTTTTTGACAGGGAAAGTAAAGGAATTTGGGGATCGGATTTTTAACTTCCCGCTAAAAAAATCGAAGATTTTCAAAAATCGGGAAGTTATTGCTTTCACCCCCGGGAAAAACGGATTAGATCTGGCCATATATAAACAGATCTAGCCAGATCTTTAAATTGTTTCTATCTGACGAGATCTGGCCAGATATAATCAGATCTGACCAGATCTGGTCAGATTTTTTAATTGCCCGGGTAAAAAGATTATATATAATTATATATACTCATACATAATTATATACGAAAAATGGCCCTATATTATTATATAGAATTATTTCCATTAAAAAAAAAATCGACACGCGCGGGGATCGAACCTGGGACCTGACACTTGAAAGACTAATTCTTTACCCGTTTACCAACGAGGCTTACTTCAAAACTGAAGCTTGTAATAACTACAAGTAATGTGAATCGTGTCCATGATCGACGGGTAATGAACAAAGTTTTTTATCAAATTTACAAATTATTAATTATCAATATACGCTAATAGAGAGATTTATTAACTATTAACAAATTAATTCATCCGAAGATAATTATTTAATTTATTAAATTCTAATAAATATTTTTTAACATTAAATTAATATTTATTTGGGAGAAAAGTATATTTAGTAAAATAGTTTATAAGTATTTATTAATAGTTAACAAATATAGTTATATCTCGCCAGATATAATAAAATCTTTTTATGTCTGATTTTTTTTTCAACCCAGATATAGTTATATCTGTTTAGATCTGAACAAATATGACTAGATCTGATTATGACTGATGTATTTTTCTACTCAGATAGATATAGATCTATTCAGATAGAATTCATAATTAGATCAGACCAGATATAATTATATCTGGTCAAATCTAAACCGTTTTCCCCGGGCCCCGTTTTCCAAGAATCGAACTTTCATCAGATCTCGACGTTTTAAGGCCACAGGAAGCTTACCTCATGACTCCCACGATGTAGTCACTATATCTGTGTGTGTGTGTGTTTTTTTTTTTTTTTTTTTTTTTTTTTCCTTTAGGGGGGGTCATCATCATCATCATCATCCTCATCATCATCATCATCATCATCATCATCATCATCATCATCATCATCATCATCATCATCATCATCATCATCATCATCATCATCATCATCATCATCATCATCATCATCATCATCATCATCATCATCATCATCATCATCATCATCATCATCATCATCATCATCATCATCATCATCATCATCATCATCATCATCATCATCATCATCATCATCATCATCATCATCATCATCATCATCATCATCATCATCATCATCATCATCATCATCGTTAAACTATGAAAACTTATCGAAATCTTTCCCACATCTTATCAAGTCCAGATCAGATCAACTTTTGTCTCAAAATTCTCCTCCAACATCAACTTTCACTTGAAACAGCAAATTATTAAATAATGAAACTCTTTTTCCAAATCCTGGAACATCAAATCAACCAGAACTTACCGAAACGACAAATACAACAGAATATTCGACTTCATCAAACACTGGAAACAATTCAATTACCGATACATTACCAGCCGTAATAAATGAAAAAAGTTTTGAACCAGAAATAACTAACTGTGGAAATTCGGAAATAATTAAAACAAAGCAATCCGAAGAACTTCCTCTTATAACATTAAATTTGCAAGATATTCAAACCCCTTTAAATAACAATGAGCTTGGAGCTGAAGGTATAACTTTTGCGACAATGTCTACTAAGGGATTAGATGCAGTGGTGTCAACAATTAAAGGAAAAAGTAAGCTTTGAGAATAATCAATTACAAATTTTAGTTCTTCATCTTTACACTGTTAATTTTAATTTTAATGAGATCTCGCTAGAGTAATTTAGAATTATAATTTCAATTAAAGATTAGGTATTAATTATAAATATATTTCTACAATCAGAAATCTAAGTTTGAAAATTCGAGATAATATATACACAGAAAAAAAGGTTCACTTGAGCCAAGAAAATATTTTTTTTCCTAATTATTTTCTTGAGCAAAAAAAAAATTTTTTTTTGACACAAGAAATTTCACTTATTCCAACAAAATTAATTCTCTTGCTTTAAGGAATACCTATCTTGATCCAAGAAAATTTATTTAAGTCAAGAAAATCTTCTTGTTTTGAGAAAATTCAGCCTCTTGCTCCAAAAAATTTAGTTCTTGATAGAAGTAAATTTTCTTGTCTTGAGAAAATTTCTCTCTTGCTTCAAAAAATTAAATATAAAAATAGAAGTAAATTTTCAATAATATTTTTATTGATTAACATATCAAATGGGAAGATCAAATAATATTGAATCATTTTTTTTCATTCAATATGTATAACTGAACGCTAAAATAATATAAAATGGGTATCAAATATTCAAGAGAAAAATTTTCTCAAGATGAGAAAATTTTTTTCTCAGCTGAAGTAAGTGGCGCTGCTTCTCTAAAGTATCTAAAAATCTTGATCAAATATAAAAATTTATTGTATCAAGTATTTATGATAATTTAAATTAAGAAAAAATTACTTCCACCAAGAATAGAATTTAAAGAAAACTTTATACTTCGCCCAACACAACTTCGGTCTTGCTTGAAGCACCCGAAAATTTTCTTGAGCCAAGAATTTTGCTCTCCAGTCAAGAAATTTTTCTTTCTGTGTATGATTAGATTCATTTACTCAAGAAGTTTTGTTAGAATTGTATTTAATATTATTAAAAAAAATTGATAAACTTTATGATACTGTACTAAAATAGAATTATTCTACATAATTTAATATATATTAATTACATACTCTGTCATGATCGTATTCAAATAGTTACAAAAGAAGTAATGGAATTTTTTGAAACTTTAACGACGGCTATGAGACAGCAATTCGATGCAGATAACACCAACAACAAAGATACACAAACAGCCTTAAAAATCAACGAAGATAAAAAAAAAACTTATTTTCAGTGAGATTATTTTAATAATTATTTCAAAAAAGAATTCACGATTAGTTTTAATAGCTATTAATAATATTAATCAAAATGACATTTCGATTAGTATTGATAGTTTGTAATTTTTATAATTAAAATGAAAAACTAATATTTTTCTTATGTTTAGATTCCAATACAGTATTTAAAACCCAGCAAAGACGTGGTAAGCAATTTTTACATAGCTAATTAATTGATCTTTTAAAGAAACGATATTTCAAAATTAATATTTTAGGTTGAAATAGGAAAAAACGCCAAATTTTACTTACCGTTAGACTGCATGGAGAGAATTCAAGACGAGGCACAACAAGATTGGCGAAAATTTATACGCGAAACGCTAGATGAAGTGTACGGAGAAAATATTTGTAACTTTTCAGCAAAAGGGAAAAAAAAACAATCACGCCCAGCAATCGATCACAACCTGTATAAAGGACTGTTATGTAATTATTATTGACTCATAATCAAAATTACTTGTATGCAAAATAAAATTGATGTAATACAAAATTACTGTACGAAAATTATAAGAAAAAAAAAATAAATGAAAAATTGTGTTATTTCAGATCGAGCACGCCAAATGACGAACAAAACGGTGGCTGAAAAAGCAGTAGTAAAATGCATCAATCAACATTGCGTAAATAAAAGAAAATATCTGTTCCCAGAATCAATGAAAAAAATTGGAAAAAAATCAAAAGGTAAATGAGAACTTCATAAATATTAATTTAAATTAAAAAAATTTTAATTTAAAAAATTTTAAAAAATAATAAACTGCTGCTCATTTTAGGTAAAAATAGATTGCATCGAGAAATAATTGAAGAAAAAGAAGAAGACGATGAAGACGAAGAAGACGAAGAGGACGAAGATGAAGAAGAAGAAGACGACGATGAAGATGGGGAAGATGACGAGGATATCATAGACCTAAAATAAAATAGAAGGAAAAGAGATCACAAAATAAATTTAGAACTTTGTTAAAATATTGATTGAAAAATTAAGTTATAATTTTGAGACATAATTTTTGTAATCAGTAGCGAAGTTTGCAACGCATCTTTTATTTCTATTTAATTAAGCTTAAAGAACGTCAAAAGACGAACTGGTGCAAGTGAGTCAGCTCGTAGGCAATAAAAATCCGTAATCGTTAATTCAAACGTTATTTTTTCGATTAGAATACTTTACTTTATTCAATTCGGCTTGGAGAACACCGAAAAACGACCTGGTGCACGTCATACAGCCTGTCTAGGAGAACAACCTCCAAACATTGGTCAACAGTTCATTTTTGTGCCTAAAAATTCTCCTTTTCTGTGGAAGGAGGCTTGGAAATACCCTAAAACGACCTGGTGCACGGCACACGGCTCGTCTGCTAGAATAATCTCCAAGCGTTTGTTAAACTTTTTATTTTTTGACAAAAAAATACTTTATTTTACTCAAATTGGCTTAGAGAACTTCGAGAAACGACCTGGTGCACGTCATACAGCTCGTCTACAAGAACAACCTCCAAGCATTGGTCAAAAGTTCATTTTTGTGCCTGAAAATTCTCATATTTTATGTACGGAGGTTTGGAAATACCCTGCGATGACCTGGTGCACGTCGAACAGCTCGTCTTCGAGAAAATCCTCCAAGCGTTTGTTAAAAGTTCATTTTTTTGACAAAAAATCCTTCATTTTACACTATTTGGCTTGGAGAACACCGAGAGAGGACCTGGTGTACGTCCTACAGCCCGCCTACGAGAAAAATCTCCCAGCATTGGTAAACAGTTTTTTTTGTGCCTAAAAATTCTCATATTTTATGTAAGGAGGTTTGGAAATACCCCGCGATGACCTGGTGCACGTCACACAGCTCGTCTTCGAGAAAATTCTCCAAGCGTTGGTTAACTTTTTTTCTTTTTGAAATAAAATACTTTATTTTACTCAATTTGGCTTGGAGAACACTGAGAAATGACCTGGTGCACGTCACACAGCCCGTCTACGAGAATAATTTCCAACCATTGGTCAACAGTTCATTTTTGTTCCTAAAAATTCTCCTTTTTTATTAGTGGAAGCTTGGAAATACTCTGAGACGACCTGGTGCAAGTCACGCCGACTGCTCGTCTGCACGAAGAACCCCTGTACGTTCGCTAAAAGTTAATTTTTTCAACTAAAAATATTACATCGTTATACAATTAATCTTGGAGTACATCTGGCGATGAACTGGTACCTGAAATGGACTGTCGCTTCTTGTCTTTCAGGCATTTGATACACTTATTACCCTAGTTTGGATTTATATCTTTTCTTCGTGCTGTTTTTCTCACATAGGTTAGTTTTATTAGGAATAAGTCTTAATTAAGTTCAACCTGATGAGTAAGCTCACTTAAGTCATATGCAAGCTTTTTAAGTCAAGGTAATATCAATTCAATCCCATCAATACCAGATAAGGTAAATGTAAACTTTTTAAGCTAACGTAAGTTAAATCTAATCCAAATATTTCGACTCGGGTACATAAAAAAAACCTGAAAATTATTATTATAAATTTAACGATTTATTGTTAACAGAGGGAGTTGGTTGAAATATGTTTCGTAAATAATTCGAATCCAGTGGTGATCTCCGAGGATCTACTTGACAACAATTGGGACCCAGGCGGAAATCCATTGATTGTGATTGACCGTAAATTCGACAAACAGATCACAGGTTTTCTTCCTACGTACCCAATGTACGTGCTTGTGTTTAAATCAATTGATGAGCTAAAGGTCGTCATCAATAATCTCCAAAAGTCAACGTTCTGGAACATTAAATCGCCTTTTCTGATCGTCGAAACCAACTCACATTGCCTTAGTACTAAAACAATTTTGAAGTTCATGTGGAAGCGGAATTTAATGGCTGTTTATCATTTGTGCTACCAAAAAAATTCGACGGTTGTCTTCACGCTGAATCCCTTTGCAAGCTACGCACCGGCACCGTGGGAACTGATTGCCGAATTTGATGATGACGACGGCAAGAAAATGACACTCTACAGGCTACAATACACAAAAGGTACTTTCCAACATAAAATTACGTAACGAATACCAAAAAGGCGTACTTCTACAGTAAAATAGGGCTCTATTTTAAAAAGTCGTAAAAAAAAAAATTACTTTTGCCATCCAGCTAGGATACGCCCTTTTGGCCTTTTTCACGCGAAATAATCTAATGAAGTATTAGTAATAATAACTCAGTATGTTTGTTTTCAGATCCCGAGGTTTGTAAAAGTATAATATTTGATAAAACGGATCATTTAGACAATGCGGAGGTTAAAACTTCTAAATTTACTACCTTAGAAAATGTTTTCATCAATGAAACGTTTAAAAGACTATATAGTGACGAGATCATTCATAGTAAATTGAAAAGTAAATATATGACATTACATCAGCTATCACTTCTCATGAATATCACGTCAACAATCGACTTAATTCCGAATGTGAAGATCCAAGAATTATTGAAGCAAGGTTACGTTAAAGAATTAGCTGATGAAATTTATGATATTCATGATCAGATACTTCCGATAGAAGCAACTAAATACAAGTACGTGGATGTTATGGCGTATTATCATGAAATGAGGTTCTCAATCTTGACCAAGAAGACTAATTTTTTAACAGTATTCAACGATGTAACTAACGATGTCCGGTTCGTGGTTGGGACAATTGTGCTGTTCATCATGTTTACGATTGTAATGTTTATTATCAACAAAGATAATGTATGTCTGGCTATGATGGACGTTGTGAGGTTAGTTCTCAGTATGACACTTGAAACTCCGCTTAATCGATTGGTGATGAAGTTCATATTATTTTTCGGATTCCTTTTTGCGTTTCTGATAGTTCCCGATTTTCAAGGACACGTATCCGCCATTTTGTCTAAGCCCCTGGGGCGCAACGTTGAGACTCTAAAGGATTTGTTTGAGAATAAGTTTCATGTGTACTATTACGACCGATTAGAATACGATATAATCAATGAACAATTGTGGGTCAGTGATGAGGACAAAAAGTATCTTCATCCACTACCAGAAAACGAAATGATAGACTGCATAAAAGCTGTGCCACAAAATTCGACGATAGCCTGCATTTTTAGAACTAAAGCCTCAGTAGGTGAGGCTTCGGAGTTAAAACACTTGCATGTGTCAAAAAAAAACGTCTTCAAAAAACTTATGGTTTATTGGGCCAGGAAGAACTGGCCCTTAAAAAATAAGTTTGAAGAGATCGCTCGGGTTACTGCGGAATTAGGATTTAGTCGATACATCAAATTGGATAACAGTTTAAAAAAGAAGCAGAGGGAACTGAAGAAGAAGAAACAAAAGGATGAAAGTAGAGAGTACAAGCAGTTTGACTATGATAATTTGATATTTAATTATCATTTCTTAGGGTATTTTATCATGTTTGGGCTTATTGTTTTTGTGATTGAAATATTATTTGACCGATATATCTGAATATACAGATAATTCCAAGCACGAGGCTACTTATTCTAATCAGTCTTTTTTCGTGTTGATTACTATTTAGTGCACTGATAGAAGGATTTAGCACGGAGTACTAAATTGATTTAGCAACAAAATTTTTATTCATTTATTTAGGAGAAACAAATATTTTGTTCCCATCAATATTATTCGTTACAGGTTAATAAATGATTTCTTTATATGAACAAAGCCTCATTACATGGAAATAAATATTTAGTTCCACCAAATAATATTTAGTAACAGGTACTAAATATTTTTTTGGCAAGTATTAGCAGTAGATGGCTATGCTTTAATTCAATGATTATGTGATACATAACGTATTCAGTAACTCAGATTATTTTATTCAGCTCGATTTTGGGAGATTCATCAAACCTTTAAAAACACACATACTCTCAATAAATATCTTCTATTTATGTTTTTTCTCGGTGGAGTTTAGTTTACATTTTTCAATTTGTCTATTTTTGATGTGTTAAAAACTTGTTTAATTTTTAATTTTATAAATGTCTTAAACAAAAAAATATAATTTAATAAGATTCTTTTCTTCATAATACCTTATATTTTTACTTAAAATTATATATTTTAATTATTTTGATTTATTTTAAGTTAAAAAGTTAGGTTACACGCTAAAATTGGTTAAAAAATTAATTTCTTTGATACCAATAAACAATTTATTGAGTACCAATAAATCATTTGTTCAATACTACTAAATATTTATTTGGTGGAACTAAATGGGCTTTAATAAATAGTTTAGTAACTAATACTAAATATTTGGTAATGAAAAGTTTATTACTAAATCATTTAGTATCTGTTACTAAATCTTATTAAATAGAACTAAATCCTTCTATTTGTGTGTGTTTTTAAATTTTGAGTGAAATTTGAAAAAAAATTTGGACATTTATTGTACACCTTTGAAATCATTTGTAGATAATAAAAATTAATGAAATATGATACCCGAAGAAAGTTTTACCTCTGACGTACGAAATTATGTTAGTAGCTTTAGAGTATCTTAATATAATTATTATCTGAAAGTAAATTTGATACAATTTTCGGAGTACTTATTTTTTTAAAAATTAGATATAACTCGATATTGTACCCAATAATAATGGTGAGTGGTTAACCAGTTTTGCTCAATATTTTAATGTGTTATCCAGTTTTCACAATTTTAAATCAATTATCATCATGTGTTTTCAAAAATGAAAAAAAAAGAAAATAAAAATAATAATGTATGTCAAATTTTGTATTTTGATGAACATGTTAAAAAATAAAATGAATATCTAATAATATTTGGTGTACTGAATGTCGTTTTTTTGTTTGAATTTCATATATATATATACTACGGTGCGCCAACATTCAATTTCGGAGAGAAGCTTTTTAAAATTGGAATTTCGTTTCGCTTTCAACAACAGCTGTGTTTGAGCAATTTCTGAGATATTTTGGCGTGTGACGATTCATTTAATATTTATAGAATTTTTCGACAGGAGCTTTGTTTGGGCACTTTAAATCATTGATTTTTATAGCGGAAAGTTAAAAATTCTACAAAAATTTCTAGTGCAATTATGGTAATGCTGGACTGTACTTATATTAATGGTAACTTGCATAATGGTAGACAGGCAATTTGTAAATTTTCATCAAAAAGTGTTTTTTGTTATACTCGCTCCAGAAGTTCAACTTCTGAGGGCTGGGTGGCGTTTCGTAAAGGGACTCTTTTCTAGAGACTCTACCATACCGTCTTTTTTTCACGGCCTAGGCCGTGAAGTTTTACCCCCTCCTTTTTTTTACGAACTTTTCATGTACACCCAAACGAAATTGAGAGAAATTGTAAAAAAAAAGTCACATTCTAGCGTACCGACCGATAATTTTTAGTCTTAGTTACTATTGAGTGGCGCTTATTATTTTTCTGCTGGCAGTTTATTACGAAGCGGATCTAATGTTAATAAAATAACAACAACGCCATAAATAAATACTAATAAAAAATTATTTACATTTTCTGGACGTGAGCAAGATTTTAAGATTAATAAAAAGATAATTAATATAAAATTAATTTTTTTTGGCCTTGTGAAATTTCCTAAAATTTAAATATGTCATTATTTGCCTCCTATCCCTCAAAAGTTAAACTTATGGAGCGATAATAACAAAAAATATTGTATGTCATTCGGCCGTTTAGTGGCGATTTTGACAACGACTTTTTTTCGATATTCGCTTTAATGTTTGTGACGCGAATGTTCGAAAACGAGCGTAAATTTCCGTCCTCGGCTACGCCTCGGACGTTAAAATTACGCCCGTTTCGAGCCTTCCCGCCATAAACCTTAAGCTCATATCGAAATATCGTCGCTGTCAGAAAACCGCCACTTCACGGCCTTATGACATAAATATCTATTTTCTAAGTGTAGAAAATTTTTTTTCGACAAGAAAGTTACTATGAGAGAAAAATTTTGATTTCTTCAACTAAAAAATAAAATCGTCTAAAATTTTTAACAAATTATTTTTCTATCTCAACAATGCCTATTTTTTTCAAAAGAAATTATTTCTCTCAGTGTATTTTATGATTCTTCATATTTTTACATGTTTTATATATAAAAGAAATCCATTCGGTTCTGACGTTTCAATACTACTAGTGGCCTCTTTTAGAATTTAAAAAAAAGAAAAAAAAATAATTCATATACTCCAAAAATCTGTATGTCTGAAGAAAAAAAAAATTTATTGTGGCAGTAATTTTTAGTCTATCCTCTATCTTATGATAATTAAATCTTTGCAGTTGCAAGCGTGTAGAAGATATTAATTAACAATAAAATATCTTTGATAAGAGAACGATAGAAAATGATCAAAATGCACTAACTGTGCGCAGACGCTTATATAGTCTACATATTTTAATACGCAAGCGTGTAAAATGCGCAAGTTCATTCGGTCATGTATCTTCTTATTTAAAAATCATATTGCATGTTAAGTGAAAACGCGTAAGAAGTAAGCTCTAAAGTTAACGGGTATGATCGCCAAAAAATTAAGTCCTCGATTTTTTCACGTTATCATTTATTTGATCGATAAAATACATATACTAATAACGGAAAAAACGCACTATAATTAAGAAAAAAAATTATTTAACATGTAGAAATTACTATTTAATCGATGTATTGATATTTGCATGCAAAATAAAGTGGATTATCACGACTACACGGAGGGTGATTGTTATAACTTTTGAATATGAATATTTAAGTAACTCTACTTATTATATTGTTATTAAATCGTAAATACAGATTAAGCTAATAAAAACGCGTCAATAAATAGAATATTATGGCATAGTTGTGAACGTTTAGGTGTGTGTGACGACTAACACGTCGAACAATTCAATCAACTAATTGCTAATAATTTTACGTTTCATGCAATAAACTATTCCCGGGAAATATGGATTTTTTTCGATTCGCAACAAATGTTGCCATGGATACTTTGTCTTTTTTTCTATAATTTTATAAGTTCGTGTATAATCGGAGATGAATTGTGTAATTTTTATATTTATTTGAAGATCAGAGAGATCTTCTGATCGGATAGCGGTTCGAAGCAATTTGGTGATGTAAAATTTATAGTAATGCGGCGAGAAATTATCCTATTAATTATTTTTTGGGGGTCGGTTACTGCAAGTGTTGAATGGGATAGACTAAAAATAATAGATTCCAAGTATAAAGATTCTTCAGAACGTCTTCGAAGTGATGCGGTGAGTCTTATGGTTTATTTAATCTTAAAAACGAATTTGTATTCACTCAGTTCATAATTAATGTAACATCATTTATTAATTTACATAAAACAATTTGAAATTATTATTAAAAATTTAGCGACTTATTGTTAACAGAGGGAGTTGGTTGAAATATGTTTCGTAAATAATTCGAATCCAGTGGTGATCTCCGAGGATCTACTTGACAACAATTGGGACCCAGGCAGGAATCCATTGATTGTGATTGACCGTAAATTCGACAAACAGATCACAGGTTTTCTTCCTACGTACCCAATGTACGTGCTTGCGTTTGAATCAATTGATGAGCTAAAGGTCGTCATCAATAATCTTTAAAAGTCAACGTTCTGGAACATTAAATCGCCTTTTCTGATCGTCGAAACCGACTCACGTTGCCTTAGTACTAAAACAATTTTGAAGTTCATGTGGAAGCAGAATTTAATAGCTGTTTATCATTTGTGCGACCAAAAAAATTCGACGGTTGTCTTCACGCTGAATTCCTTTGCAAGCTACGCACCGGCACCGTGGGAACTGATTGCCGAATTTGATGATGACGAGGGCAAGAAAATGACACTCTGCAGGTTTCAATACACAAAAGGTACTTTCCTTCATAAAATCACGTAACAAATACCAAAAAGGCGTACTCCTACAGTAAAATAGGGCTCTACACGGAAAAAAATCCTATGAAAAATTACTATAGTAACATCGTAATCCAGGACTAGACTTACAGTTTGTTGATTTTTACAATGCTGCCGTCTACAGAATACAATTTGAATTATTGAAAATTACTATGTTATTTAGTAAATTTTTTTTCCATAAGAGCAAGTGAATAAGGACGCATACTATATGTTTTAATAAAAGAGAGACAGAGTCTAGTAGTTTGCGACGCCACCATCGAAAGATGACCAACTACTGTATGGAGGGTCTTATTATGTGACTGAATAGAAAAGATAGGTATTCCTTACGATAGCGTAAGGGGATAAACCTTGGGCTTGTGTCGGAGAAGGAACCGGGTTCGATTCCTCGGTGAAACAGAATTATTTTTTCGATGACCTACACTTCTTTTTAATTTGAGTGATAGAAATTTACGATGTTGCATCGCATAAATTATATTGTTTGAGTTCTGGTCCGGCACTACAATGTTTTATACTAAAAATTACTATGTTACCATTGTAATTTTTCATAGGATTTTCTCTCCGTGTACTTCAAAAAGGAGTACAAAAAAAATTTTTTTGCTCGACCGCCAGAAAGCGTCAAATTTGGATATTCTGACCGTGAACCATAGTATATTACACACCGAGGGAAGTAAAATAAGAGGTTCATAGTCAGAATATCCAAGGGCAATTATATCCATCGACATCATACCTCCGGACACTATATCCGGCGATGCCGTGTCAGCGTCATAATATCCATGACAAATTTGGGAATTAGGTGAATAAAGGATAAGGGGGGGGGGGGAGGACCTTATTTTTTACTCTGTAGGAATCTCTTTAGTGACCGAAAAATAATTCGGACAGCCCGGACCGGGAATCGAACCCGGATCGTTTGGTTACGCGCCAAAGGCTCTACCAGTTAAGCTATCCGAGACCACTATCCGTAACTACTATTCAGTCACATATAAAGACCTGACTTGAGTAAACGCCACCGTCCATCTTACGGTAATAACAAATATTAATTTGTAGTTAAATTTGTCATGTGGATAAGTCAGCGACACGGTCGGGAACACAATGCTACGGAAGCATGTTTGTCATTTGGATATTCTGTTTATTGGATATTCTGACCGTGAACCATATACTATTTGAGTTACTAACGCCAAAAGGCAGTATATAGAAAATTATATTTCTTATTATAAAACGTGAAAATAATGCTGCATCGATGAAGTAATATCATAATAAAAGTGAAAAATAAAAAAATAAACTATAATAAATATAATAGTTTAAAAAAACTGAAAACACGCTTTTTATAGAAAACCAAAATGAAGAATAGAAAATAAATTTTAATAAATATAAATTAATAATAGTGTAAATGAGAAAAAAATGTTTTTTATTTTGAAAAAAAGGGTGGGGTGCATGGTGACAATAGTTATAAATATTTTATTGACAGATATGAGTAAAAGGGTTATCATTTCGATAATATCTTAAAAAACATCTCACGCTTTTTTTTTTTTAAATAAAATACATTTTTTTCTTGCTTACACTATTATTAATTTATATTTATTAAAATTTATTTTCTATTCTTCATTTTGGTTTTCTATAAAAAGCGTGTTTTCAGTTTTTTTAAACTATTATATTTATTATAGTTTATTTTTTTATTTTTCACTTTTATTATGATATTACTTCATCGATGCAGCATTATTTTCACGTTTTATAATAAGAAATATAATTTTCTATATACTGCCTTTTGGCGTTAGTAACTCAAATAGTATATGGTTCACGGTCAGAATATCCAATAAACAGAATATCCAAATGACAAACATGCTTCCGTAGCATTGTGTTCCCGACCGTGTCGCTGACTTATCCACATGACAAATTTAACTACAAATTAATATTTGTTATTACCGTAAGATGGACGGTGGCGTTTACTCAAGTCAGGTCTTTATATGTGACTGAATAGTAGTTACGGATAGTGGTCTCGGATAGCTTAACTGGTAGAGCCTTTGGCGCGTAACCAAACGATCCGGGTTCGATTCCCGGTCCGGGCTGTCCGAATTATTTTTCGGTCACTAAAGAGATTCCTACAGAGTAAAAAATAAGGTCCTCCCCCCCCCCCCTTATCCTTTATTCACCTAATTCCCAAATTTGTCATGGATATTATGACGCTGACACGGCATCGCCGGATATAGTGTCCGGAGGTATGATGTCGATGGATATAATTGCCCTTGGATATTCTGACTATGAACCTCTTATTTTACTTCCCTCGGTGTGTAATATACTATGGTTCACGGTCAGAATATCCAAATTTGACGCTTTCTGGCGGTCGAGCAAAAAAATTTTTTTTGTACTCCTTTTTGAAGTACACGGAGAGAAAATCCTATGAAAAATTACAATGGTAACATAGTAATTTTTAGTATAAAACATTGTAGTGCCGGACCAGAACTCAAACAATATAATTTATGCGATGCAACATCGTAAATTTCTATCACTCAAATTAAAAAGAAGTGTAGGTCATCGAAAAAATAATTCTGTTTCACCGAGGAATCGAACCCGGTGCCCTCTCCGACACAAG